TATATAAACTATTTCTACAAAATAAAAAAGTGCAGAATTTTTTGAAGACCCCTTGTAATTATGAGGCAGATAAAGAGGTTACTCTGCCTTGTCCTTCCTGCTAAATCTGCTCAGGAGGCATTTATGGAAAGACCCTAAATTCCAGTGTCCGACTCGCACACCGGGCACACACTTCCGCGTGGCCTCCCGGTGTTAACCCTCGCAGTACCTGCACCGAGCCATCTGGGTGGCGGGCAAGGGCTCGTCCGAGCTTGCCAAAGACGCGCGACTCGAGCCCCGAGACAGAATGACGGACGTGCCAATGCACCTCGGCGCTGGAATCTCTGGCCATGTGGTGCTGCTGGAAAGGCTGCGCCCCCCCAAGAGAAGCACCCTGTGCAGAATGGGCTGCCTGGGGTGGGGAAAGGGGTCCTCTGGGGGGGGGGGCGGCAGCAGGAGCGCTGGGCACTGGTGGGAGCCCCTCCCGCTGCGCACACCGAGGCCGCCTGCTTCCGCCCTCCCCAAAGGGTCTGAGGCATTTCCTTCCCTCTCCGAGGCCCAAGCAGCCTTTACCCACCGGGAATATGCAAAAACCATCCAGAATCCAACATTACCCCCAGTAGAGGGGGAAAACCCGAGGAGCTTTGCGTGAGGATGATGGGCTAATGCCGGGGAAGTCTGAGTTTCAGTCTCTGCCCAGCCACGAGCCCCACCGGGTCCCTTCTGGGAAGTCACAGCTGCTGAACCAGCCTTCCACTGCCCCTTGCCTGGAGACTTCTCCCAGCCTGGCCTTCCCTTGGCCCACGAGGGCCCTCACACAGCCGCCCCTCTAGCCCTGGACCTGCCGCCCATCCCTGTTCTCCTCGTCTCCAAGCACGGGATGGAGAGGGCGCTCGCATCCAGAGCGCCCCTGGGCTGCACGCCCTCCCCCAGGCCCCTCTGGGTCAACTCAAGGGGCCTCCTGGCCAAGCCATCCTCTACAGCCTGCATCTTCTCCTTGAGGAGAGACACCAGGCGCATCCTGCTCTTCGGCATCATTTTGAGCCCAGGCAAGTGTCCCAGGCTAAAAAAAACGCTGCCTGGGAAAGCTCTTTCTTCCTCAGAGGGCTTCAGTCTACAGAAGGAAGGCTCTCAGTCTCAGCGAGGGCAGGTACTTTAAAGGTTACCCCTTCCCGAGGCTCTGCAGAATCACAGGATATGTATTGGCAATGCAACAGTTTGCTCACAAAATTAAAAAAAGCAAAGCTTCCACCAGATGGATTTCAGTTGGGTTTCATGGAGACTTCTGCACAGCACCTTCACTTTGAAAGGAGACCAAGTGAACCTTCATTGGTTTTTTTTTGTTTTGGGCATGTTTGGGGGAAGGAAGGTGCCCTGCAGAACTTTTCCTATGGAGATTCCTGGATACTGTGGGGGCATGTTTTCATCTTAGAGGGAGAAATCCCCATACAGGGCAGGGGACGGAAATTCAGGAATTTCTTCAGACTAGGCTCTCTGACAATATCCTAGGAGGACAAGTCTGTAGGGTGACGTAGGGGTAAATTACAGAACATAAGGTGAGCTGGGGCAATGCCAAGTCAACCTTCTTTGGTTCCTTTCTGTGGGGCCTGAATGGGGTCATCCCGACTTTGGAGTGCGTTGCCTCATCCTACCCCTACCCCGTATTCAGTAGCAAATATGATTGCAGACCATAAACCTGCATGTGAATCTCCAAAGCTGCCTGGGCAGGTGACGCATTCACTTCCCTCCCAAAGCCAAGGGGGAAAGACAACACCTCTTGCCGGGGATTCTGATATTGGCCTCCTCTGCCTGTTTCTGAAGCTGTCAGCACGTGTGCACTCTGATATTCCTAGGAAAATGGGAGGTGAAGCTGCACTTCTCACATTAAGGCAGCTCTTATCTACAGAATGATTCATGGAAGTTGGACGGGGCCAGAAGGCCATCGCGTCCAAGCCCTGTTATCGCAGGACACTCGGTTATACCACCCCACTCAAGATGGCTGTCCAAACAGCACATTTAAAACAGATTTAAAATTTAACTTCTACAAGACCAGAATGAGCAAATAATTAAAAAGCAATAGTACACTAATTACATACCCTACAGTACAATTCCCCGGAGATGTCACCCTCATTGGAGAAATGTTCCCGCCCCTGCCTCCCCTTCCCTGCCCTTCCAATCGTCTTTCTTGTCCTACCCCAAGTCAACAACAACGTCCATGTCCAGGTGGGGCATCCAGAAAAGGACACAAAAGGTCAAGTGCAGATGCACCAAGAATTTGGGCAATGGGAGAAAGTTCAAGGCAAGTTTATTTTCTTTTCTGTCATAACCAGCATGCAGTATGCCATTCCCAGTGAACATGGACTGGGATAAAATCTTTACCATGCATTCTGCATGCAAGATCCCTTTATTGTTCATTGAATGCATTTGAAAGCCGTATCTCTGGTGTGAGTTCTTTGATGTTCAGTAAGGTCTCCCCTCCAACAGAAGCCCTTTCTAAATTACATTCATGTGTATGGCCTCTCCCCAGTGTGGGTTCTATAATGGCGTGTAAGATTTCCTCTCCCTCTGAAGCTCTTTCCACATTCCATGCACATGTATGGCTTCTCTCCAGTGTGCGTTCTTTGATGTGTGGAAAGCATCCCACTTTGACTGAAGCTCTTGCCACATTCCATGCACGTGTATGGCTTCTCTCCAGTGTGCGTTCTTTGATGTGTGGACAGCATCCCACTTTGACTGAAGCTCTTGCCACATTCCATGCATGTGTATGGCTTCTCCCCAGTGTGCGTTCTTTGATGTATTTTAAGAGTATTACTGTGGCTGAAGCTCTTGCCACATTCCATGCATGTGTATGGCTTCTCCCCAGAGTGCGTTCTTTGATGGATGGTTAAATGACCACTTCCACTAAACCCCTTGCCACATTCCATGCATGTATATGGCTTCTCCCCAGAGTGCGTTCTTTGATGGATGGTTAAATGTGCACTTCCACTAAAGCTCTTGCCACATTCTATGCATGTGTATGGCTTCTCTCCAGTGTGTGACTTTTGATGTCTGGTAAGATTTCCTCTGAAACTGAAGCTCTTGCCACATTCCATGCATGTGTATGGCTTCTCTCCAGTGTGTGTTTTTTGATGTGTGGTAAGATTGCTACTGCACCTGAAGCTCTTGCCACATTCCATGCATGTGTATGGCAACTCCCCAGAGTGAGTTCTTTGATGGATGGTTAAATATCCACTTCCACTAAAGCTCTTGCCACATTCCATGCATGTGTATGGCTTCTCTCCAGTGTGCGTTTTTTGATGTCTGGTAAGATTTTCTCTGACACTGAAGCTCTTTTCACATTCCATGCATGGGTATGGCTTCTCCCCAGTGTGTGTTCTTTCATGTTTCTTAAGGGTACTACTGTGTCTGAAGCTCTTTCCACATTCCATGCACGTGTATGGCTTCTCCCCAGAGTGCGTTCTTTGATGTTTAGTAAGACTTCCTCTGACACTGAAGCTCTTTTCACATTCCATGCATGGGTATGGCTGCTCCCCAGTGTGCGTTCTTTGATGTTTCTTAAGAGTACCATTGCAGCTGAAGCTCTTGCCACATTCCATGCATGTGTATGGCTTCTCCCCGGAGTGCGTTCTGTGATGGATGGTAAGAGTACTACTACAGCTGAAGCTCTTGCCACATTCCATGCATGTGTATGGCTTCTCTCCAGAGTGCATTCTTTGATGTTCATTAAGAGTAAAACTCTGGCTGAAGCTCTTGCCACATTCCATGCACGTGTATGGCTTCTCCCCAGAGTGCGTTCTGTGATGGATGGTAAGATTACTACGACAGCTGAAGCTCTTGCCACATTCCATGCACGTGTATGGCTTCTCCCCAGTGTGTGTTCTTTGATGAATGGTACGGGCCCCACTTCCACTGAAACTCTTGCCACATTCCATGCACGTGTATGGCTTCTCTCCAGTGTGTGTTCTTTGATGGATGGTAAGATGTCCACTTTGACTGAAGCTCTTGCCACATTCCATGCATGTGTATGGCTTCTCTCCACTGTGGATTCTTTCATGATTTTTAAGACTTCCACTGTCACTGAAACTCTTGCCACATTCCATGCATGAATATGGTGCATCTCCAGTGTGTAATCCTTGATGTATAGTAAGCCCTCTACTTTCATCAAGGCACTTCCTGCATCCCATACATTTGTTTGCTCCCTCCCCTGCATCCTTTCTTTGCTCCCCAGAATGATTTCCAGCATCGCTGAAGCTCTTCCCATATTCTGTGCATTTAGACAGCTGCTCTCCACTCTGCACCCGCCTGCTTTTTCTAAGAATTCCGCCAGCACTTAAGCTCAGCCTTCCTTCCATGACTTGATGTGGTTTCCCCAAAGTGCTGGATCTATGATGCTCACTAAACCTCGGTAATCTCTGAGCCTCGTTCCACATTTGGCCTCCGTCCTTGCTACAATTTGGATCCATTCATTCACCTATCCTTTGCTAATTTGCCAAAAACAAGAGTCTTTCCCCTTCCTCTTTCCTGGACTTCAAGGGATGAAGGATGAGTGTTTGCAGGACATTGAGAAATATCGTACGTTTTCCTCTTGTTCTGTATTCGGTTTTCTTGTACTCTTTTGATATCCTTTAATTTGGAATTCCCTCTTTTCTCACTTCATGCTCACTGGTTTCCGCTTATTTGATGCAGGGATCCATATCAATTTCCTCTCCTACCATTCATCTGTTTGGGAGGAAAGAGACAAGAAAAGCTTGGTAGGGTGAAAGGCCGACACAGATGCACTCAATCGAGCGCACAGCAACCCTGGCACCTGTCAGGCCAACATCTCAGCCGTCTCCCTGCCCACTGCGTACACACTGCCAAAACCACAATTTCTCAAGGACTCTCTTCCCAGAGTGACATCGCATACACTGAGGTTTGGATGGGCTCTGTACTGT